CACACTCACATCCTCATGCATCAGCATCCTCACACACCTGCGTCCTTGCACACTCGCATCATTGCACACTCACATCCTCATGCATCAGCATCCTTGCACACCCGCATCCTTGCACACCCACATCCTTGCACACCTCCATCCTCACGCATCAGCATCCTTGCACACCTGCATCCTTGCACACCTCCATCCTCATGCATCAGCATCCTCACACACCTCTGTCCTTCCACACTCGCATCGTTGCACACCCACATCCTCATGCATCAGCATCCTCACATACCCACATCCTCGCACACCCGCATCCTCACACATCAGCATCCTCGCACACTCACATCCTCATGCATCAGCATCCTCGCACACCCGCATCCTCACACACTCACATCCTTGCACACCCGCATCCTCACACACTCACATCCTCGCACACCCGCATCCTCACACATCAGCATCCTCGCACACTCACATCCGCATGCATCAGCATCCTCAGACACCCGCATCCTCGCACACTCATATCCTCGCACACCCGCAGCCCCCGTGCCGGCTCCCCGCCTGCCCTCCCGCGGCGCAGACTGGGCCGTTCCTCCGCTTTCAAAGGGAATTCCCTTCTGATTTGTTCCTTTTTAGCAGAATTAAATTCGCCGGAGCGGAGGCAGCGGCGCAGCGGGTGTGGGTCGGCTTGCGACGACTTTGCCCAAGGGGAAAAAAGAACCCCATCCATCAGCGTTCCCCAAGTAGCGCTCCCAACGCCTTCCTCCTGCCGCAGATCCCCTGGGATGGAAATCGGGAGGTGTTTTTGCTAACCCCAGGCAGTAACTGAGCGTTTCGGCCGCGGTTCCTCGTGCAGCGGGGGTGGCTTTGGCGCTGGCTCGGGGACAGGCTGGTGCCCAGCGCTCGGGTAAGGGCGATGTGTTGCTGGTGTGAACGTCCCCGTCCCCAACGCCTCCTCGACTCACGTTATTTCACTTCCAAACCATTACCCGAGCTCAGGCCTTTCCCTCAGCCCCCTGGGGAGGATGGGGTTTAAGTGCAAAGAACGTGGGGGCACCCGGTGGCCCGTGGGTGGCCAGGCCAGGACCAGCAGCCCTTGGGGGGGCTGTCAGGGGGCTGCCTTGGTGCCCAGCCAAAATGTGCACGGCTTCAGGGGGGATAAACTGCCCGGAAAAGGCCTTTTGGGGGGAGAGAGAGGGGATGGATGGGGAAACTGAGGCAGGGATGGCGCTGGCATGGTCTCCCCCCACCGCTATGCAGCACCAGGGCAGCCCAGGGCTGCGGTGGCTCTGCGGGGGTCACCCTCTGCCCACCGGCAACGGGACCCAGCACAGGGTGGGAATGAGGGGAGCAGCCCGTGGGACACCCCATCCTTGGTCTTGGGCACCCTGGGGAGCTCGGGGCACCCATGGGTGCTCAGCCCCACCGTGGTTTGGGTCTGGGTTGCAGGATGACAACGTAAAATGCTGCTCCGGGGGCGGGGGGGCAAAGCTGGACGGGGTCCTGCTCTTCGGGGACAACATCTTGGGGATATGGGGACCTTCTTCCTTCCTTCGCTGGCAGCTGCCAGCCCCGCGCTCTCCCCGCCGTCCTCATCCATCCTCATCCATCCTCATCCATCCTCATCCATCCTCATCCATCCCCGCTGGCGCCGGC